ATAAGTTTGCCATAGCTCATTTATTTGAAAGATAATATAAATTGCCTGTGATCTGCTTTCAGATATGAACTGTTGAAATCAAAGGACTATGTGTGGTATCACTCAGCCTCATACACTGGCTTGAGAGTTTGCTATGCAAATCAGCTAAAATAAAATAGTTATCCAGGTTTGGAAAAGTATTCTCAGAGCATTTGTCCAACTTCACTTATGGAAATTATAGCTGGTTCCCAATATTTATCTGAGCTATATACCATCTTTCCAGCTAATGGAATATAACTTAGGCATGTAGCTACACAAGGAAATACAGATAGCAGAGAGCAACACAATAAAAATTCCTAGGGCTACAGGAACCCTTTTCCTAATTCTACCACAGCAGTCTTGGGACTGGGCAGAAAAAAAGCCCCCATAAGTGGTGGTTGGCTTATGATACTAGACCAATATACATGTTCTCTGTTACTTTTGAACATGTACACAGGCTGCTGTGTACATTTGCAGCTTGGAAGAAACGAACTTATGCAAAGAACAAAATAAGTAGGGGGAAGAATAAAAATGTATGGTTTGAAATTCTTCATACAATTCACTTGAGGAGCATCCTTAAGTTTCCCTTTAAACTGTATATCTGTAGTTTACTTCAAATGTACTTTCAAGAGGTTTTACAAATTCTTATGGAGGCTAAATTTACAAGGATTTTCAGAAAAAGCCAGCATTTCAGTAACACTAATAAAAGGTGAGGGAGTCTCAAATCTCTATGTCAGTGGTACAATTGCCACTGAGCTGAAAAATACTATTGTCATCACCTTGCACTGAGATTTTAAGAGTGTTCAGGTATATTACTTTAGCATCGCTTCTCGGCCTTTTGGCTAAGATCAAGTGTATATTACTTTAGTATGACGAGTTCATGATGAAATCACTGTTGATAAACATTGCCATATTTCCAGAAGCTAACTACTTGTAAAGGTTATTTCTCAGTTCAAATGTCTGTATTAAAATGTTTTCCATAGACAGGCATCTTGGAACGCAGTAGACACAATAGACAGATAAAAAGAGATCTATTCTGATTCCATTTTTTCACAGAATGTAGTAAACATCTTTAGGTATTTTGTTTTGATGAAGTTGACAAGAAGGGTAACTCTGCCCAATACAGAAGTAAGAGCTTGTCCAAATCATGCAGTGTGTCCATACAGCACCAGGAGCCGTGTTTTGAATTAAAGCACAAAGCCCTCCATACTGGCCTGGCATAGAGCATGCCCCATCAGTGCCATTTCAGTGATACTTCCACAGAGTTTGATCACTCCAGCAAATTTGCATTCCTATATTATCAATAGCACTAAAAAGCTCATCAGATTTGCTTCTTTCTACAATTTCTTAACAGAAGAATCAGCACCCTTAGCACTGACATCCATTTAGACTGCAGATTGTTTGGTTTTTATTTTATTTATTCATTTTTAAAAAAATTATTAGCCCCCCAACTCCAGGGGACACCAGTGGTTTTCTGTTTTCAAATAACTGCTGATTGCAATTTTCTTCTATATCTGCAATTTGACATGACACAATAAGGTTAGACAATGGATGTTTAAAACTGATTGACTACTAACCCTCCAAGCAAAGTAACTACCCTATTAATAGCTGCTGGAAGAAAGAAGTGTAGGCATTGTGTGATTATGCATACAACTTATTAAGAGGTAAAATAGCTTTTGACTGGACCCAAATATACCCTTCTGTATTTAACTAGCCTTGTTTTTTTGTTCTTTAAGAGGAAAAAAAAATTAAAGGATTGTTAGATAGTTGTTCCTTATAGCTGGAAGGGTGACAACAATCAGATCAAGGATTGATCTGGGACTCAGAGGTGTTAATTCTAGTCCATGTATGTTCATGAGAATGGAGGAAAAGGAAAGGTCACTCTGCTTCTTCTTTTAGACATGTGTCTTGTAGTGTAATAGGAAATTTCTTCAGCTCTCACGAATAGCTCTCTATTATCCTGCTCCATCAAGGATATAAGTTTTAACAAGCTACTTCTGTGTAACTTTTGAAACAAACCTGAACCAGGTGTTTTCCTTTAAGTTTGAAACATCTCTGAATTCAGCTAACTTGTAAGCACCCTGCACTAGACACACATTTTGCCTAACAGTTACAATATGAATTGTTTCTAAATATTATTTTAATTTGTTAAGGTTTATGTATTCTGCAGGAAACATAGTGACACATTACACGTTGAAATAATTCTTCACCACTAACAAGAACACTTTGAAGCCAAGAGATAAGCAACTGTTTTTGTACTTTCTTGTCTTGCATGTACTTCGACTTGCATCTCAGCTAGTAACTGTGGCATTCTCAGCTTTTATTGACACTTGTCAGAAATGTGTCCATTTTAGACAGCAATACAGTTCTTGTGATGTTTTTGAAGTATACAACCTTTGCAGACCTCAAAATTGGATACCTGAAGAATGGAACTGTATGATTGAGAGCAGAAATATAATGAGCTCAAAACAGAATAAAATGAGCCCCAAACAAAACACAACAGAACTGAAATGCTGTACCCTGAAACTAGTGCAAAACATGAGTTCCAGAAGAGAAAACATTTCTTTTTTTAAAAAAAAGGTGGATATAATTTGCAGAAATGGCAAAACTAACCTGCCTGATCAGAGAAAAACAACAAAACCCTTTCTGAAAGACTGGAAACCTTATATGGATGTTTTGCTGAAAGAAGAAGAAAAAATGACATGGTGATTGATGGGTTTGAAGATTAAGAAAGATGTAGATTCAATGTGGGGCTGAAGGGATTTATATCTAAGAGGAAGGAAGAAATATAAAATTATAATTATCTGTTGAAAAGAAGGTCAGAAGTCATATTTCTTAACTTGAGGGTTTTTTCCTTCTCTTTTTTCATTTCTTGCCTTTCTTTCTTTCTTTCTTTCTTTCTTTCTTTCTTTCTTTCTTTCTTTCTTTCTTTCTTTCTTCCTTCCTTCCTTCCTTCCTTCCTTCCTTCCTTCCTTATTCCTTCCTTCCGTTCTTTTGATTTTTACTTTTTGAAAATCTTTTAATAAATATAAATTTAAAAAACTGTGGATATACTGTACATTTGAAATTTGAAATATTTTCAACCATTGATATATTGGTGGTAGTTTAATTTTGAAAGAAAAGACAGATACAAACAATGACTGATTCCAGTTTGGGATGGGAAATCTAAATTGATTCGGTTATTAAACCCCATTCCTTACAATTATTTTCATTGAGCAAAGTCAGGGAAAAGAAAGAGATAAGAACGACAGACAGAACAATGCTCCTTGCATAAAATCAGCTTCTCTTAAAATGCTGTTAAAATGCTGCAATGTGCAAAACATTGGCAGGTTATGTGTTACTTGTAGTGATCTGTTTCCCAATGTAGTCGCAGACGTAATGTCATAGTCCATGTTCTATTTTCTTTAAAATCTTGAGCTTGCTGCATATAAATCCCTTCCCTCACTTTTGTGGAATTTACCTTCAATTTGGACATAATTTGGAAACATATTGGTCTGCGAATGAGACTAAGTGCTGCCAAAAAAAATCTGCTTAAACTGAGGATACCAAATACAGGATCTTGAGCATTGGACCAAGGCTGCATCTTTGCTAGCATTCCACTCCAGAAGCCATTGAAAAATCATTTACCCCAGGTTTTAAATTCCTCTAGATGGAAAGGAGTATAATTTCACAATATGATACTGCATTTAGTAATGCCAGTATCAACATTTAATAAAGGAACCTGGGAAGTTTCTTAAAAGAATTTGCATTATAAACTGAGCTCTAATAGAGTTTTAGATGTATGGGAAGAGTGCCCTGTGGAAGACCCAGGATTTTCCTTAATATATTCTGGACTATTTCCAGTTACACAACTACATTCTCATTCCATTCCAAAATCTCCTTCCCATATAGAAGCTGTAGAACTATTTTTCCTTATAATATTTTTAATAAATTGCAGGGGCAATTTAACTGGTCTCCACTGGAGTAGAAAAACTTTAGAATATACCCAGTGCATTAAAGTGTACCTTCCAGGCTAATGCCTTCTGAAAAGGGACATCCAAATATTTAAGGAATGGGCAATGCTGGGCGTTAATTGACAGTGTATGTTTGGTTCTGCTGTGATTAAAGACCACCACTGTGGCTTTATTGTAGCTAATTCTCAGCTTTTTCCTATCACAGTAATCAGCCAGTCTAGCCAACAATTTTCTAAGCCTAATTTCAACATGTATCATGATATAAGTGCCATATCATCAGCCTACATCAAATTGAGTATTCTGCACCTATTAAGCAAAGGGGAGAAAATGATTCTCATTCCATGGCTGAAATGCTATAATTGATATGCAAATTAAACGGGATGGGAGGAAATAAATAGACCTGTTTGACTGCTCCATTTATTAAAATAGGGTCAGATAAGGGCCCCTGTTGACCAACTCATATCCTTGTAGTAAGGTTAGAAAACAAGTCAATCAATAACCTGAGAGGTCTAATATTTGCAATGGTTCTCTCAAGCTTTTCCCATAGTTTACACCTAACAATGGAATCAAAGGCAGATTTCCTCTGCAGTTTAAAAATAGCAGACTCAGTTGTCAATAAATAATTCCACTTTAATGGCAAAGTAATAATTTAGACAGATACAGTGTGCACACCTGCAAAAAATATATGCAAGCTGGTTTACAAGCTAGAAGAACAATAAATCAATATAAAATACATCATCCAGTTAAGTCTGATGACACCAAATACTTATTATTAGGGCTTTACAAAGACTACAAAACTTTTCAGATGATTTATCTCACTGTTTCTGCCTATTTACACAATATGTTACATTAAAAATGTACAAAATATAAAATGTATACAGACAAATGCTTCACAAACAAATTTTTAAAGTTGTAAACTAGGTGAACTCACTGAAATGTATTGCAGGGAAAATTGTATTATGTAGTATATACAGACAGGATGTGTGCATGTGTATTGAAAATGGCAGGAGTTCCTGGGCTTATATGTTGTTTTAGACTACATCAATCATAAGGAGCTTTCATTTTTGTCATTTACCAGAGAGTGGCGTGCTGCTTAACAGTATGAGACAGTCAGCTAATATTTGCTGCTGGAAATCAATCTGAGTACATTTTATGTGCATAAAAGCAGATTTTGTTATGAGGGCAGTAGCACCATGCAGGAAACCTGCAGCTGATGCGACAGGGAAAATTGCATTGATTTCTTCAATATTTGTTTTGCAGTAGATATTGTTGTAGGAGTTAGTAGCACCAGTTACATGTCCTGAAGTTATCCATCGGCTATGTGTATCCTGAAAGCATTTCATCGGCACATGTCCTATTGTTGTGAGTGGACATACTCCACATGAGTTCTTTCATGATTGGGGGTTGAAGTACATGTCTGTAGAATGCTATAGCCCTTAGATTATTTACGTTAATTTTAACCAGCATATCCAATTACTCTGACTGGGTTTTCCTTCAGTCTGGTGTATCCTGCCAGGACAGATAGCATCTATTTTTTCTTCAAAGATAGACTGGTTTAAAGAGTGCAAATGTTCATTCTAGCAAGGATAGCCCCAGCTTTGTGATGACAATTCTAAATACAGGATGAACATACTGGGTTTATCTGTCTTTCTTTTTTTAAACAGATTGTACAGATTGCATTTTTGATTTGTTTACAACATATAGGTATTCTCAGTCAATGAAACATTTCTTAACATCAATAGAATAAAGTATAGTTTTGTATTTTTGTTGCTGTCACTGTTTTGTTTCCTTTCATTTGTGCAACACTTTTTATTTTCAGTATTTACAATACCCTCCCAATAAACTGTGCAAAATCACCCCCACCTTCCCCTCTTACAGTAAAAACATTTCTGTCTTGCACAGTGAATAGCACTGTGTCAGTGTTTTTGTAATGCTGAATTTCTTCATTTACAACAACTGCAATTAAAATAGCATGCTTCAAATGAAGGGGGAAGGGGAGGGAGGAAAATCAAGAACAATTTGTGCTCATGCTAAATCAAGTGCACCCAGCTCTGCTGGATAAAATGTCACACGTCTCTGTTTCTGGCTTAAATAAGTTCTTTCCAAATGGGGTAGAGCCAACTGTGTTGGACTTTTTTGTTTCGTTTTCTGTTCACAGTTAACTAAGAGTGGCTTTTGGGTCACTTGAATAGTTTAGATGGCAGGTCATTGATTCACAGAAGATAAAAATAATATATCTATATATTAATAGTTCATCCTTCTAGCCACCTAATTAAAAAAAATCTTGATATATAAACACAAGGCTACTGTGTTCACTGATGCTCTCTCATTAGTAAAATGAAGAAAGGAAACAGTGTAAATAATCAATGGTTTAAACAAATTAAACCAACTGTAACATTGTCTAGAAATCGGTTTTAAGGCAGTGAGACAGCACCATAGGAAATGATCTCTTTTTCCCCCACCCAAAAGACTCAAAACAAAGCCCTAAGCAAACCTTTAGTCAGCATCAGAATTGCTTAACAACAACAGCAACAACCTTGTTAAGAGGTGGGCAGGTGTTTAAAAAATACCATTGTGGTTAAAAACAATTTGGATATAAAAACGGGTGACTTTTTTCAATACACACACACACACACACACACAAGCAAACAAACAGAAAAGTTGGTGAACCACATCACTGCAAATATGGCAGTTTAGTATCAAATTGGCACTTATCCAGCATATCACAGTATTGTTTGTCAGGTAATTGCACAATACTGTTTTGTGCTTATTGAGTTTATACGCCCTCTCATTCTTCTTTTTATTTTGTGTCCACCTCGTTTTGGAAAGGACAGCAGAATATAATGTGAACATCGTTGCAATCTGGAATATGTGCTGTGAGGCACCACAGAGGTTAGAGGAGGAAGAGGAGGAGGAGCAAGAGAACTATGAATGCAGCACCCCCAAGTATATTGAAGTGTCACATAAAATGCTTCCACTGTAAACTTTCAAGACAAGAATAGAAAATAAAAGACTCATAGAGATTCCAGTTTGGCTAGTATGTGTGCAGTCTGCTTCACAGCCTCCCTGTTAAAGGCTCTTTCCACTTGAAATTGAACAAATCCCAGCTTTCAGTTCTGATTTGCTTTACTGCTTAAATCAGCTGCCTCCATACAACACAGCACACACATGCTCTTTCAGCAGCCACCCCATCCCACCCCATCGTGATGCTACTGGCAGCCCTTAACACAGGTATAGGTTTATCAGCCTCCTCTAACCAAAGCCATGCGCTCTTCAGAGAGTTGACTCAAGGGAAGGGTCCAGAATATCATCATGGTGGCTGGCAGTATCACTGTCACAGCTCTGGGCACTTGAGTAAGTGGCAGCTTCTTTGAGCCTCAATAGCATGTTCATCTGAGAAAGAAATACAGGATGGTGGGTTATTGATGTAAGAGTTAAAATGACTCAGATTAATAATAATCCAGTCCATTTTACTATTCATGTTTGCAGACCAATGCTGTAATGCATTCCACCTGTTGTGGCTGTTGTTTTAATTTAACAAAAATGTGCAACCATTTCTGTTTATAAGTCTTTTGTTCAGAGCTGTTTTAGGAAACATTTGCTGAAAATGTTTTCCTTTTTAAGGAAACTTTTTTTTGACTTATGTAGCTTTAGTTTTCCCAACCCTTTTAATGCTTGTTTGTGTAACTATATGGCTACCCATTTTATGAGAAATTTCTGCCTTAACCTCTTTTAAAGGCCATTATGTGCATTTTTGAACCTATGTTTCGCACAAGAAGAGTTTTTGTGCTCTTTCACATGGAGGCAAATAGATGCAACCAGATTCCATCCAGTGTGGGCTTTCACGCTATGATAGCCTTTGTGGTTTTTTTTAGAAACTTAATATTTTCACAACATAGACATGAGCAGCTGTAATACTATTGTTTTTATGCCATACAACAGAAGACAGAAGTGATAGTGTAGCACTTCTTCAGAATGGAGCAGGGCTTTGAAAAAACGTAGCTGACCAAAAGATTTTTCCAAAGTATCCGCTGAATCACGTTGAAGTCTTTAAAAACATAGAAGCAATGAAACTAAGGGGAAAAGCAACATGTAAGGCATTCGAAGTATAAGGGAAAATGGATTATTTAAACCAGGCCTAGATTCATTTTTCTAGTCCTTGTCAAGGATGAGGAAACCAACAAACAAACACTTTTTTGTATGGGAGGAGGAGAAAAAGAACCCCCATCTGCTTTGCATACATATTGAAGTGGAATGAGTGGCTGAATACAAGAGCGCCATCTGCTGTCCAGGAGCTGACCAAGACAAAACAATGCTATATTGCTGTGGTGAGGCTGGATTCCAGAAGAGCCTTAAGCACATCTTACTTAACATCAAAAGTACTGGAGATTTCTAAGATGTATAGAGCCTAAAATTATTACAGTTACAGGTGGCATTTATAAAGCTTTCCTCTTATGGTATTCAGGGAATGGGCTATGTTGACAGAATTTTAAAATAGCACATTTTTACAATGCAGATCTACAGCTTCTCTGATCCAAAATATGTAAAAAATTGGAAGCCAGACTAAATCATGTGATTACACCTTCTTAGATTTATCTAAGCCTTGTAAGATCATGGTGGCTTTATTGCTGTCATATAGCAACTTCATTGCCTTAAGTTGAAGAAGGTTGCTAGCCTTGTTTACGATACCAGCAAAAATTTATGGAGAATAGTGGAAGCTTGTGTACAATTCTGGTCACTGCATCTGAGGAAGAAAGAGGCAATCTGCATCTTAGAGAAGAAAAGGACAATCAGATTGAAGCAGGTCTCCTATGAGGAAAGACTATAGCAATTGGAACTCTGTGGCTTGGACTGAAGGGGGGAGGGGGAAGGTATGAGGAGACATGGCAAAGGGATATTAGACCATGAATGGCATAGACAACATGGTAAAAGGTTTTCTATGCCTCCCTAACAGTGTTAGAACTTCAGTTTATCCACTGAAAGTAATTGCAGGGAGATTCAGAAACATTTTTGTACAGCACATAGTTAAACTGTGGAATGTGATATTAGCAATAGCAAGGGAGACAATTTCGATAGTTTTAAAAGGAGACTGGTAAGGTTTATGAAAGGTCAAACTATCAGTTGCTACTCATGCTAGGTAGTTGTCTACAAGCTGCTGAATCATAGGCACTTATATACTGATCTGGGACTGACCATGGAAAGGTGCTATCATCCTCTAATCCAAACTTCTGGGCATCCCAAATATATCCAGTTGGCCACATAATGGTCTTATGGCTTGATCTAGCATGGACCTTCTTACATTCTAATGGAGGAAGGACTCCAACATGTAAACCTATCTCTTTACTCTGCAGGTTTTCTGTTAGAGCTTCTGAATATTTTCCTAGAGAAATCTTCTTCAGATCTCTCACTTCACATACACATATCTTTAATATTTCTCTGCTTTTTGCTTCTGTGTGCCCTCTCTCTCATTCACAGCTATTCACCTTTGTCAGAGAAAGTAATAAAATGCATTCAGGGATACCATTAAGATAAATGAGTGCCCAGACATTTATGACCCCAACAGAATGTTCTCTTTCTTGCTCAGTATGAAGTGTGATGGAATGTTAACAGAGTGGGTCAAAATTTAGGACTGGCATATAAATACTCATATATTCTGAAATGGTAACTCCTTAATCTGATTCATTCTTTGATTTATTGTACATATTCAGTGAATTAATGCAAAGCTAAGAAGGGCCTTAAATTTAACATAATGGGGGTTATACATTAAGGTTTTTTTTCACTGCAGTATAAGGGGACATGCAAACTAGTACCAATTTATCTGAGCAGCCAAAGCAGCAAGTAGAATAAATTTAACCTACCAAGTGTTCAGCTGTTGCATACAATAAGCAATTAGAACAAAAAGCACCACTGAATAAAGCATATGAAAAAACAATAAGCATTGTTTTATTTTACCAAAGGATCTCCTTCTGATTCCATCTGTGGAATGTGCTTTGAAGTGGTTCCTTCTTTGGCAGATGCATAACCTTCATATCCAACATCTTCAGGTCTTAACTGAAGTAATGATGACCAATCATGCTGCAGTGAACTCCATGGACAAGTCTCTGCTATCCACTTTGAGGGGTCTTCCCAAGGCGCACGTTTACCGTACATCTAAATATATATCCCAAAAGAAAAGTAAAAATGCCTCATTTCATTTTATTAAAAGACATTTAGAATGGAAGCTATGAACCAAGTTATTATCAAGTATTCATCTTGAATGCCCCACAATGCTACCACATAAGTTATGATTAATGAAGAATCTGTTTAGTTTATAAGAACAATAATGTCTGGTCAAAGATTATTGGATTTAAGTTATTGTGACACCAAAAAATGGATAAGACATATATATTTGTGGTGTCTGCTTTCTAGACTCTTAGCTATTGTAACTTGTTTATCCCTCCCCCCCTTATATATTCCACTTCTACAAGTTTATATTAAAATTTGGGGGGTGGGGTCAGTATCTCACTGATTACCAGTATTCAAATGGGGTATTTCTATTAACAAATTGCAAAATACTACAAGAGATCAGTGACAATCCCACTGAGTATTAAATAGTCATGTAGCCAAAGTAAGTTTCTGTTCCTCTGGGCATTTTTCTGGTCCAAGGAAATTATCTTCAGGTATTGCAATGTCCAATGGTTGCAATGATAGGGGCACAGATTTTATGAAGGTCTAAAAATTAGATTATCCTCCCCACTCCTGACAAATTTTGGGTTGTTTCTTTAATCAACCTTTGGAAATAATAATGAAGTTCACATCCCAAGGACTCAGACTGCTGTTTGGTTAGGCTCCTACCTGAAGTCCTTCTCTCACAGCTTCCATTATATATGGCACCAAGGAATAATTCCAGAGATCAGTAAACCACACTCTAGAACCATCAACATCAATAGGACAGGGTAGAAAAAGGCGAGGACCTAAAATAAGAAAATATTTATTAAAAATATGAGATTACATTCAGTGTCATAAGTGGACTTTTGCTCATGCAGCATGGTTGCTCATGTTGTCTTTTTCTCTGTATATTATGTCCCCTTCTTATAAAGAAAGTTTGGGTGTCATACAAGGAAAGGGGAGATCTAACTCAAGCTGTTCTATTGTCAGATACACACAACTGATATACTGTTTATATGATATACATTGCATTTTAGGGACAGCAGCCATTTTTTCATGAAGCACAATTACATTTTTCTGCGTTAGCCTTTTCAGCCATACGATTTAGAAAAATACGTTATAACATCTGGCATTGGTGAATACTGAGGCACAGAAATATGGGTGATGTATTTCTAAAGACCAATTCCTTCATTGGTTCCAGTTGGCCTTTGTTTAAATGGCAGAAATAATTCTGAAGACATTTCATGTGAAAATAAGGTGACTATTTCTTAAGTACATTCAACATCAGCTCTCTGCCTTGTTTGTCAGCATTGTAGCAACTGCCAGCTGTTATGTGGCAACTGCTAAAACAAGTTTATTCAATTGGAAGAAACCTCTCTCTTTTTTTTAAACATACCATGATTTGAAACATTCTTTGATCTCTTCTTCAGGGAGGACTTTTTTGCAGTGGGGTCTCCACTGGTCTTGGGGTGCCATTTCTCACATGATTACTTAACACAGATTTATAATGACTGAAGAGGGCTTTTGAAGCAGTGATACCTGTTCTTGGATTTCTCGAGAGTTCTGAAAGAATTTTAGACCTCTCTGTCTACTCTGCTTCCTACTGCTGCTTGCTGATCCATTCTGATGCTACATCAGAATGTATATTATTAATGGCATGAAGAAATGTGAAAAGCCAGAATTTTAAAAGACAAAAATTGTGATTAAATATGTTTTCCAAGAACATGCATTTTACTTTTGTTTATTTTAAATATTTTTGTTTTGTTTTAAATTGTCTCTTCATATTAGTCAGGACTAACTGCTTTGACAGCAGAATGTGAAAAGGAAGCCCAAGACAGTATAAGTTAAGGCGGATTGTAGACTAAGGCTAATGAGAATTAATGGCTTTGTGTTATTCTTTAAGTAAGAATTTCATTCCAGAAATGTAACAACAATATCAATTTTTCAAACACAACCTTCTGTTAATTCAACCCTCAGATGTTTGCTTTGGGATAAAAGATAAGCTATCAGTTATTTTGCCATTAACAACAGATTCATAGTAAGCTTATATGGTAAAATAAGCCTCAAAGTTCAGTTTTAACCATAATTTGAATTCTTAACTGTAAAAGGTCTTACCAATGGTTATATCAGAAGAACTGTGGCTTTCTAAGAAGCTGTTGAGATGATGCCATATCTTGGGAATCCAGTCAATAATTTTGATGAGATCATTATTGCGGGCATTCCTCTCTAGCTCTGTTTCAATCAGTTTCCTTCTCAAATATCTGGATAAAAGCCCTTTAATAGGCTCTGTGTGATTAGCACACAGCACCCATCTACACACAAAACAACAAATCAATAAAATAATGGAATCCAAATGCAAAACCTGAGGCCATCCAGTAAAATCTTACAGCAGACTCAAAACAAACAAAAATGTACTTCTTTTTACCCTATTATTAACCTACAGCAACCATTTCCATGAGCTGATGTGACAGCCACCAGCATAAATTGCTGAAAATAAAAGATTTGATCACAGCACTTAAGATATAGCTTGTAGTCTCTTATAAGACCAAATAGTATTTTCTGTGTTCACAGACCATGTCTCTCAGTGCCTGAAGTTAGCAATTAATCACTGAAGATGGATAATGACTGTGCATCCTGTTTGTGAACTTGCCTTTGGCATTTGGTTAGCTGCTGTTAGTAAATAGATTTTGAGCTACATTATTGTTCTATCACAGGAGGATAACACATCTCTAGCTAATAATGCATAGTTTCTTTTCAGCTTGGTCTTGAGGTCCATGATGAAGAAAAATACTGTTCTATAATACTATACTATACTAAAATATAAAAATACTATACTAAAAATATATTAAATCTTAATATATTTAGTCTTTTGTGCTTTCTGCTATCTTGTGACAAGAGCCAAATGGCAGATCACTTTTGCAATGGTGACAGAAACAACCCCAAATATGGTGGTACTATATCTTTATTCCATCTGACTTTTCTGCTTTCTGCTTTTATATAACCATATACGCAACAATCATGAACTTATTAAAACTAAAAATGAATTAACCTTAAAGTTCTGAACCTGAGTCTTATGACATATATTAAACAAAGAATCTTTACCTGAAGTTTTGATGCAGTTCTAGGTTAGGTGATGATGAAACTCCCTGGTTCATCGTTCCAATAATATAGGGACTTAAAAAAAAAAGTGATTTAAAAAAAAATCCAGCAAAATTGAATAAGCACAGAATATTAACAAAATAAAATAAAAACAGCACTAAAATCAGCAAGGGTGACCACAGAAAAATCCTTACTCCCTTAACCTCTGAATATAGAAAAGGAAGAGCCTATGAAGTAGTCACAATGCCAAAGTAAACTCACATTTAAGCAAACTCATTTTAATATTGTTTTAATATACTGTATGCATATTTATATTTCAGAAAAGTTCCTTTGGACACACTTATGCTAGGTCTCAAATGTTTGCTTAAATGTATTCTTGAGCTATGCTACAGATACCAGTAGAGGATGTGTCAGATGTTAAACTGATAAACTGAGAACTGCTACTTCAACTTTGTGTGTATGTGTGCGCCTTCAAGTCAGATTTTTGACTCCTGGAGACTGCCTGGACTAGTCCCTGCAGTTTTCCTGGCAAGGGTTTTCAGAAGTGGTTTGTCCTAGGGCTAAGAGAGAGTGACTGGCCAAAGGTCACCCAGCTGGCTTTGTGCCTCAAGTGGGACTAGAACTCACGGTTTCCTGGTTTCTAGCCCAGTGCTTAACCACTAGACCAAACTGGCTTCACTTCAGCTTTGACACTTACTAATTTTCAGTTCTTTCCAGATTAGCATAGCCTTCTATAAGTTCTTGGTCCAAATGATTTTTTAAAAATTTACTTCAATGATTCTGTAGGTATGATATGCAACAATTACTTTGTTGCAATTTAGCCATCTCTGTAATAAAATATTCTTTAAGTATGAGGCCACATGTCAAAAACTGTAAAGTATGAATAAGTAGAATTTTACTGAGTCCACATTTTAATGAACTTTTCACTTTCCAGACTAATATGTCATATAATATTTTTATAACATTTGCAGTGCAATTTTGGCTAAACATTTGCATACAGTAACATGCAGAGTAAGGAAAGTTGCATACTTTATATCTGTTCATAGCAATCTGTTTATGAAACTCACATTTATACATTTTTCCTTTTTCTTAAAATCACAAAGTGAAATGTGTGTTAGATAGACTAGACTTATGACTAAAAACATGCAAGACTGATCTGGACCATCTGTAGACTATTCTGTGCATCTCAATTTGAAAGTGATATGATAATATGTTTGTTTCTGCTTTATATTTTGGATTTAAACCAGTTCTGTAACTTCACCAATTTTGATGATGATGATGATGATGATGGAGAAGGAGGAGGGGGGGACTTGGAATGAAAAACATTGAATGTATAATAATAGACCACTCTTCTTAATTAAAATATGAGATTAAAACATTTCCTAAACTTCACTAATTATATTCGCAATTTTACATTGTATTCTGCCATTCTGTATACTAGTCTTCTCCAACCAAACCTTCTGTACATGCATTGAATTACAACTCCCTGCATTTATAGCCAGGCTATAAGATCTTGGAGTTCTGGGAGCTTCAGTTCAGTATATTTGAAGACTGCCACGTTGGGAAAAGCTGCACAGCACCAATGACTAAAGAATCAACCTACCATTTGTTATATTTACAGTTAAGGAAACCATTGAAGATGTCACTCAAGGAACCAACATGATGCAGGTTGTCAAGAATTATTACCACAGGAAGGTCAGCACTACTATTATCAGCATTGCACTGTTCAGCCAAATTAACAAGATATTGTTGAACATCCTTGAAGAAAAGGAAGATAATGTAATAAGACAGAAGTATTTTCTATTGCCAACTTCACATTTATGAATCTTTTGTTAAAACTAAGTGTTGTGAAATGATTTCAGTAGTCTCAAGCAAAGAGGCTTTACCTAAGCATCTTCTTTATCCAAAGCTTATAATTACAGTGTATTGTTCAATATGTGCAATAGAATTGTGCTAATCTGTTTCCCCCACATCCACAAATGTAGCAAAATATGTAAAAGGAGCTTTTATTTGAGTATATTCAAATGCAGGGATGCTATTTTATGTGATCAGGAATCCTGATCGTGATGTTCTCTTGACTGGATGTACCTATGTACCTAAGATGCATGTTTATAGCATTCTTTCAGGACCTCTAATAAGCATAATCTTTCTTTCTTTCTTTCTTTCTTTCTTTCTTTCTTTCTTTCTTTCTTTCTTTCCCCAGTTTTTTGTTTATAGAATACTCAAAGCAGCTCAAACAATTAAATATACAAAATAGAAAACCAATGTAATTTAAAATTAAAATCAGAATCATTAAAATAAAAAATTCAAGTAAGAACTGAGAACAAGATGGGTCTTTATCATTTTCCTGAAAACTGGGGAGTCACCTTTTTGGAAAGACCATTCTCTAGCTTTGGGGCAACCCAGGAAAATTACTAAGTACATGAGCTTCTGGAAATGGGGGATCTTCAAAAGGCACTCTCTGCTGATTTGAATAATCAGGCAGGCTTCTATGAGGGGAGGGGAGCTTTCAAATAATCAGTACCTAATCCATTTAAGTTTTTAAAGGTCAACCAGCACCTGTAGGCAACTGGAAAGAAGTTCAGTTCAAGCATGATATGGTTCTTGTATTTGCAATAATTAGCAACCAACTACTGCATTTTTCAACAAGTGCAATTTCTGGACACTTTTCAAGGGCAGCCCCACACAGAGGTGTGGATAACTTGCTAAATCTATTTGGCTTAGGATTCTGAAGATCCAATTAATGAAAGCATGTTATATAGACATTAAACAGCATAAGGAAGAAATGAAGCCCTGTGTTCTTACTTAAACTTTTTAGTCCCCTACATGATTTTAACCTAAATCAAGGCAACTATTATACCTGAAAATCTGAGATTACAGTTGGATCCTAAAATGCCAAGTGATGAAAATTATCTTTTAGGAGAGTGTGACTTCTTCATCCAGTCACCATAAGTAATTCTGCCTTATATAGATGGAGTTTAGCTTATTTAACCTCTTTCAGTCCACTGCAGGGTCCAAACAGTCTCTCATGGAGCTAACTGCTACATCTGATTCTAATGTGAAAAATATGTAAAACTAACTCCAATACTTTACTCCAAATCCCTGTACAATTTATCTCAGTAGTTTTAAATAATTTTAGTATGGAAAAGGAAATAGAACCTTGTAAAACTCCATATATAGCTGTTAAACAGTTGATTATAAGCCCCAAACGTTATTTTCCAAGATTACTTGTGAGATATTATATCAGCTGTTTAACAGCTATATGTGGAGTTTTACAAGATTCTATTTTCTTTTCCATACTAAATTTTAATTGTGCATTCCTTAGGTGATGCAGATAATACTATGACTAACTGTATAAAAAGCCAGGTATAAACCAACTGGACCACATCTTACTGACTGTGAAATGTAAGTATTCAATATTCAAGAAAGATGCAGCAGCAAAGATATATCATACTCCTATTCTGTATAAGGGGATATACCTACCTGTCTCAAACCAAACAAATTACATGTTAAATAAGGAGAAAAATATCACAAAAATAGCAAAATAAATAAGAATATGCTATGGCAGATCACTGAAGATATGGGTAATATCAGTATAGGAAAGTAGCAAGCAAAAAATTGTCAGTTATTATCCAGTAAAAATATTGAAAATTCAGTTATTAAATAGATCTAAGATAAAGAATTAAACATTGTTCCTTAACATTTACAATGTTTATGGCTCTTTTTCTGAAGTCTTACCTTGGTTGATTTGTGATCAACAGTAAAAGTAACAATGGCATCTTCCATTTTTTTCCTGCCAGACTTAGTTATCAGATATTCAGCAAGCTTGTTGGCTAAATAGGTCTTTCCAGTGCCGCTAGGTCCTGATAGGATAATTCTGTGATGTTCCATCAGTAAATTAAAGTACCGCTGACTAATTGGTTTAGGAATTAATGTATCAAACACAAAGCTGTCCAAACTATTTTCTTCTACTCCTGACAACAAAAACAAAATAAAAAAACAAGATGGGTAAAAAAGAAAAGATAATCCTGTTGTCTATGTTGTTTTTGGTAAAGTATGGAATCATTTAGAGAAATAACTTTTCATACTTTTTTTCTTTCAAAATCAGTTCATTGAATTTTAATGTACCAGTTACAATTACAATTTTAATTTCAATCATGTCTTAGCAACGTGATTAGATAAGCATTTGCAATCAAAGCAAATGTGAAGTGAAACTAGGTGAGGCAGCAAGGCAGATCTGAAATGGCTGAGACACTTAAATGCAAAAAGGTCAAACTGATTACAGCATGGGTTAGCAGGTGGGAAATATCACCCTAAATCACAGAAGGTTTGTTTGAAGGCCCTCAACACTGGAAAGGCACTATGCCTATATGGTTGAAGTATTTGATTAGGAATCCTAACCCTCATTCTTCAACATTTCTTTATCTTGTTCATAGATTTTTTTCTTTCTTTTTTTTTAAAAACCACTTAATAAAAATATAACTAAACATGTATGAGATTCTCAAAATTAAGTTAACATTAATAAGAAATGTTAGATACAGTGGTACCTCGGGTTATGAACGCCTCTGTTAACGAACTTTTCGGATTACGACCAGCTCCGGCCACAAAAATTTACCTTGGTTTGCAAACTCTGCCCCGGGGTACGAACAGGATACATGGCCATTTTCCCTCCCGTG